AGTTATTAGACGGTATTTTTGCAGACCTAAAAACGGCCAATAAACTAGACAGTTTTTAGGTGGTTTTTAGACAGTTAACACGTTGTCAACTGGCAGTTTTTAAGCAGACTGTAAACTGGCAGTTAATTGCCCGTTTTTTTTTTCCTGGGAATTCTATCGAAACACTATCAATCAATCGAATATATGTAGTTCCTGGAAGGTACACGTGTCAGGATCTAAACAGCAACTTACTCTGAGAAGTCCATGCTTAGCTTCTTACTGCTATGTCAGTTTTAGGTTAGGCAATTGTACGAAACACTTCTTTAATTCTTTTTATTCAAATTTCTAATATTATATATTGAAAATATTACTTAAAAATTTCATAATTTCATAACTTTGTTACATTCGTTCTTTTTAGTAAACGTGCATGAGTATCTTACTAAAAAATTTTCACTAACTACACAATCTATCAAGTTATTAATTTTAATTATTTTAATTTGATCACGAATAATGCATGATGGAATGAATTGTCTAGTTGCATGGGGGAGGCGCTCGTCCAGGATAATCACATCCATTCGACTTGATATTAAACTGAAGTACACCAGGACAAGTGTCCTCTTTTACCAACGCTCCACCATCACACTGGTAGAAACGACGACAATTAGTATTCAAATCAGGAAAGAGTCCGTTGGGCTTATCAGTACCTACAAAGTAATTATTATGTTAAATTTGAATGTAAACAGGGGAAAAGTGTAGTTCACTTACATCTGTGCTGTAAATTTTGAAATGTTGGTTGAGGGACAGTTTGAGAAATTATTCTTGAACCAGGTATACACACATTTTCATCTTGTGTAAATTCGCATTGACCCGTTTGATAATTGAACAATTTTCCATTTTCACATTCTAACTTCATTCTAACACCATTGATACAACGATAGTATTTGTTGCATTTTTTCGGACTGGCAATGAACACGTTACCCGTTGATGGACATGTGTTCACATTTTCTTGAGTATCACCTGAAAGTTTCGCGAATACAGAGAATGAACCACAGTGATCATCCCCTCTGGCTTACCTGATTCTATGTTTTCGATAGTGCGACATTCTGTCGGACGATAAGTACAACGACGCTCAGCAATATTCCATCCGAATCCCTCATTGCATTCAAAAATTTTCGGTATTCCTTGTTTGCAATCAATATACAATTGACACTTTGTTGGATGAGGATATTGACCATCAGCCCGATCTGGACAATAAATATCACCGATTCTTTCACCAGATGAAATTGACACAAAAATACAAATAACACTCAATACTAAAACAAACATATCATCTCAAAAGTATCGTACAAATACACGCATGTTGAACTTCTTGTACTTACCGTAAACACTAAACATTATTTAATTATTTTTAAAAGAATGAATGTATAGTAAAATAACTGATTCACACAGCTTTTATACTACTTATTTTCGTCTAGAACAGATACAAAATCAAAAAGAAAATCAGAAAAAGAGTATGACCGACAGATAGTATCACTGATATCAGTCACTAGTATAAGTAGTGTCATAGATCCTTTGTTATATTTACCCTTGTGAAAATTTCTGTCGGACTATACTAGACTGTTATGAAGAGAAAAATGGAGAAAATTGGCCATTATATTCGAACAATCACATAAATAATATGTAAACTTGACGAATATCTTGACTTGAAACATTCTTTTCAAAAAAACAATGTTAACATTTCGAAATCAGAAAGCATGTTTGGAAAATTAGAAAAAGGATAAAAATATACTGCTCATAATACCCAATGAATTTTTTTGCGCACACGTTAGCTATTTTTAATGCATTTAACAGTATTAAATATTAATAAACTCACATGGGTTAACTGACTTAAAACGAAAGTTCTGATGTGTGGACATGCGTTAAAAATTTTATACACCAAAAGTAAACGAAAAAGTTCGCATCTATTGAAAAGTCGTTAGTGCGTTAAAACGAATTAAAATGGATAGTTTAGCTCGTTAGTCTAGCGAAAAAACGCGTGTTAATCTCATATTACCTTTATTATCTTAACTTAGTAGATGAAGTTCTTTTATGATTGATTCTAGTACTTTATTAAGACAGGTATGAAAAGAGTTTTGATGCATAATAGTAGGATTCGAACTGCTCTATTTTGTGTGACTTAGAAAGCCGGACTGGAATCTGATCTTGATAGAAAAAAAAGATCTCAAGCAGCGCATTTTTCTAGAGATCAGTTTGAAAAAGCGGGATTTGTAGGAACGAGCAACATCTCGTGCCCTACTTTCTCATCTCACATACTTTTATTTTTCGAACTTCATTTTCTTCCTATAGTCATGATAGATTTGTGGAAGTAAATTCGGTCTACAAGCAGTAGACAGTGCGGACTAAGGTCTTATTGTAGAAAAATTAAATAAGTGGAAAGAAAATTATTTTATTCACGTATGAAACAGTAGATTATAGTAAGAAAGTAGAATATAGAGTACTGATCACTAAAGANCCTTCCTATAAGATTCTTATCAGAATCTTATGAATTCTTACCAAAATCTTATGAATTCTTATAAAATAATTATATAATCTATCTTACCGAATTCTTATCAGAATCTTATAAGATTCTTATATTCCTTCTTACAAGAATCTTATCAATAAATTACGCATTTCCATCGACTGCCTTATATAAGATTCTTATAAGATTTCTATAGAATTTCCGTAAGATCGGTCGATTAGGGTAGACCCTTCGAGTTTATCCGATTTTTCAACACGAAAAGAAAGTCTCGAAAAACTAAAAACTACACATTCTTGATCTGCTTGAAAAGCTCCATCGAATGGTATATAATAAGCTGAACAATAAATTCCACTGTAAGTTTGCATTACGTGCATCTTGCATTTTTCATCAAGCAGCGAGTCTTGAAAATGCTTTTTTGGTATGAAGAAGCAGTGCATTTTTCTCACTTAAAATTAGTCATTTTTCTTTGTCTAATTAATGACTTTCTCAAAGCTCCTAATCGATATATAAATTAATTCTAAACTAGAAATATTTCGGTTTTCGGTTAATAACCGAAACCGATGCATGCGTACTTACGACCAGGACAAATATCGAAAGTAAAATCAAAAAGTTCAAGTCATGTCAGGATTCAATCAGATTATGTCAGAATATCAACATGTACTCTATTTTACCAGTTGATATTAAAACATAATTTGATTGGATTCTGACTGCGTTATGAACAGTATTTTGTACAGTATTTACGCTTGTCTGATCAATATCTGCATGACTTGATAAGCGTGACGAGATAATAGGGTGAATTATTATATTACCAAAGCTATAACATTTGAGGTAGCATAAGTGCCAGCAAACTCTGGGAATCGAACAACACAGAAAAGCAGAATTAGGTATTTAAGTGAAAATAGTCTGATAAGACGTGGATTCATCGATCAAGAGAAACGACTATTATGGATATGGCAGAAAGATCATATAAAAAATATGTTCTTGAAACATTTCAAATAGCCTTACCGAATACAACCAGTTACGTAGCTAAAGTGGTAAATTTCCCACCAACACGAAGGTGGGTGTGGGAGTAGTGAGAATGAGTATAGAATTGAATTAACACTTGAATTGTTGAATAACTGAATTCAGCTTTTGACTTTGACGCCACTCTCCGATGGACGACTAGGTATACAAGAATGCAAACATCAAACATTGTAATTCTGATCAATATACATTACAATTAGAGAGCGAACATAGAGAGCCACGTGTCTGAAAAAAGAGAAAATATTCATTTTTTTACTTTTTCTTGGTTTGATATACTTCAACAAGGCAAACATTCTTTTCTTGTAACTTGAAGGTTTTTTGTTCTTTATGCTGCAACACCAGAAAAGGTGTAACTCGTATTTATAATAAAGTTTCTTTTTGTAATAAACTTCAAGATGGTTGGTTATAAGCCGTCATTCGGGGCGAGGAATTATGCTCCGCTTTTAGAAGGACTCTATAAATAAAATCTCAGAGATAAGTTGCGTAGTGTTGCTACACTGTATTTCTTTTCAGAGTTCGCACATATATCTTCCCATGCCTAATTGAGCTGCACGTCATACAACTTTTTTGCAATTATTTTTCTAGATTCAATAGGATATTTTATAGAATTCCAGGATTCTTTAACAGCTTGAATAGAGGTTTTCCTGCTACCTCTGAACTCTTTGCTCTAACGTGAACGGCATTCCTGCAGATCTGTAAATTAAATATCGAATTATATCATGCCTAAAACACTTGAAGGCTTATCAGACAATATATTGATGTCAGTTTTTGCATTGCTAGACGTTTTTTATCTTCACAAAGCATTTAAAAAATTAAATAAACGATTTGACCAAATTCTTGACGACAATCGACTTCAGCTCTGTTCTGATTCGTTTCTTATTCCGTCTGAATTGTGCGGTTATTATTGTAAAGCTCTAATACCAAATGTCTGCAATCAGCTGGTTCGACTTGAGCTAAAATGCATTTTTAATTTCGGATATGAAGATCTTGTATTTCCTAACCTCGAAATACTTATGGCAGGTCGCTATTCAATACAATGTCTATTACGTCTATTTGCTAGTTCACTGAAAATTCGCCATGTAAAGATTGATCGTTTATATAGCAATCGGTACCATTATTTGCCAATTCCTGACGCCATTGGACTCAATAATCTCTCATCGTTGAAATTCGGTATTGCAGATTGTGTCAAATATGAAGATTTGACACTGCTATTATCATTAGCACCGGTTTTAAAAACATTATACATTAGTAACCTCGATGAACGAATACATGCTAAGTATTTTAATGCCGACGTATGGGAACATCTAATAACATCATTGAAGGAGTTAAAATATTTCACATTAATACTCAATTCCTACGATAAGGCCATTCTTGAACTCAAAAAAATGTTTGATGAACGTGATTTCTGGCGATCTAAACGTAACAGTTTTCAAACAGATATCCGTTACCATCTTTTAGAATATTTTGATCATTACGAGTATGATTAGTCTGTTGTTGCTCATGGTCGCCTTCTTTCGGGCGATGCGACTCATATGTGACTGCAGCGTACGGCTATTGTGTGGTGACTGAAATAAATAAAACAACGGAATGGCTATTGGCATTCCCTTGCGGTGGCAACCAAGAGCTATTCGAGGTTTTCACAGTGTTCACGTCAAACATACAGGGTTCACTTTCCTTTCGTTTGATAGTATTTTTCTTCCCTTTCATATATTTTTCTGATGTGCTCGTGTATATGTGTGTAAAACTTTATTTCTCTTTATAGAAAAGAACAAATTTTATATTTTAATCTAGATATTAATTTATTATATATCGAAAGGAAGCAGTGCTCATGCGTTATTCTGCCAATTTTGCAAATTAAAATTAAGTTAACCCTTTCAGGACCGGGTTAATTTTTATATAAAAAGTGCTGTTCAAAAGTTGAAGACCTTTTT